CCCTCTGTGACCCAGCAGATCCCCCTCTGTGTCCCAGCAGACCCCCCCCGTGTCCCAGCAGATATCCATGTATAACTCAGTTGATCCCCCTCTGTGTCCCGACAGACTTCCCCCTCTGTACCTCAGCAGGTCCCCTGTTCATCCCCACAGATCCCCTGCGCATCCCAGCAGGTCCCCACGTGCTTGACTCACTCATCTGTGCCCGTCCCTCCCTAAAGCTCCCACCCTTCCCTATGCATTTCCTGCCCTCCCTGCTCCTGCTTCCCCAGGCTCCCCCACAGCTGCTTCTTCTGACGGGCGAAGGATTTTGAGAATAAGGAGAATGATAATGGTGGCCTTTCCACACGATCTCTCACTTGATTCTTTTTCATGAGAACATGGACAAGTCTCTGGAATGGAGTCTCCCCAGCTGAAGTTGTTCACCACTGTCTGCGCCCTGCTCTCCTCTCCATGCCAGGCCCCCTGATGGGGTGGGTGGCTGGCATCCTGACCACTCTCTTAGCTCAGGGAGGGAAGCCCCTCCCAGCTCAGCCCCTCGCTCCCAGCCTCCATGGGCCTCAGCTCTCTCATCTGTAAGATGAGGGGCCTGGGCAGATCCAGATCTGGAAGGGAGCTTGGAGGCCGTGGAGGCCAAGCCCTCATTTTACCAGTGAGGAAACCAAGGCAGCTCACCCAGGTTCACAAGTGAGTAGGCGTCTCAGGCAGGATTTGGCCCCTGGCGTTTCCACCTCCCACTCTAGAGCACTAACCACTCTATGGTGCGGCCTCTGTCTCTAAAGCTAAGAGCCTTCGAGCCCATTCCAGTGAAAGGAGGGGTCAGCAGGCAAGGGCTTGCCATCCTCAAGAAATGGCTGATGGTTATGGCTTGTGGAGCACTGTTGGAGGAGGAGGTCTCTCTTCCAGTGAGAGTGTGGCAGGGAAGCTTTAGGAAGGACGGGGGCTTGGGAGAGACAGGGAGGGACAACTGCGTAGTGGCTTGACACCCAAACGTCTGGAGCTGGGAACAGAGCCATTTTGGAAGCCAGTCTGGCTGGATCAAGGGGCTCAAGCAGGGGAGATGAGGGGAGAAGGGCAGGGCAGGACCAGGCTGTGGGAAAGTCTCAGACTGGCCAAGGAGTCTAGACTTTGCCTTGGGGGCAGTGGGGAAGGGGAAGGAGAGACCATTGAAGGTGTCTGAGCGTGAGGGGTAGTGACAGGATGACAGCCGTGACGAGGGAGCTTCATCTGGCAGGGAGGTGCAGGAAACAAGGAATGAGGAGGCCAGAAGGCCAGGAAGGAACCTGTCTGAGTAGGAGCGGAGGGAGAGCACCAGCATCCTGGCCGCTCAAGCAGAAAGGACTCCACCAGGAGGTGACTGGTTGTGGAAAGAGAATGAGAGGGGGTCAGAGCGACTCAGGTTGGGCCTGGGAGGTGCTGGTGCCGGCGACAGAGGCAGAGAGGTGAGGCTGGGAGGAGAGGTCAGCACCCGGCTCGCCTGGAAGCGACGAGGCCTGCGATGAGGCCGGAGCGGGGCAGGCTGCACCGTGGGGAGCTGACCACGCGGCTTCATGAGTGAGGCCACTGGAGCAGGACGACCTCGGCGCTGGGACCATGGACAGAGGAGGGCAGAAAAAGCAGACACCAGACCCTCGAGGGCACCTTCGGCAAAGGGCTGGGAGGGGGAGAGGTGGAGGGAGAGAAGACAGCAAAGGGGGAGAAATCAGATGGCCTGAGCATCACAGGAACTAGGGGGTGGGCCAGCGGATCCAAACCTGAGAGGCGGGAGGGAGGGCTGACCCCCGAGAAAGCCCGGGTCTGAGGAGGGAGGGAAGGCTGACCCCCGAGAAAGCCCAGGCCTAAGGCAGGAGGGCAGGAGCTAAGGAGCCAATGAGATAATAATTGGGAGTCGCTTAGCACACAGTTGGTGTTGTATAAATGTTAGTGAGGATGGGAGTGCAAGGTAAGAGGCTAAGGAAGAACAAGGACCGTAGAGCCGCAGGCTCCAGGGAGGGTTTGTGAGCCTCAGGGAGAGCTCAGTATCCGGACTACAGGCTGAGCTTGGAGAGAAAGTGGGGGGGGGGGCCAGAAAGGGGATCATTGAAGGAGCAGGGGCCTAGGGAAGAGAAAGCTGGGACCATCAAGAAGTCAGTCAGTCAGCACACATTTATAGATAGCTGCCTGTATACCAGGCACTGTGCCAAGTAAGCCCTGAGAGCAAAGAAAGGCCCGAGCTCTGCACTAGCGCCAACCTGGCAGATGAGTCGTGCAGCTCCGCGTGACCATGGCCACGGAGGAGCACGGTCCTCTGTCTGTCTCCGTCTGGCTCCCACGGTTTTTGATTAATAAGTGCTTGCTGAATATATTACTCATTGGATAATTCGTCATGTTCTAGGCTGTGACACGGAACTTTGTATTGTTACCTAAGAATTTTTTTTATTTGGCCTTTCTGGGGTTTATCCCTTCTCTGCTCAGATAAATTGTGGCTCCCCAAGGCCAGGGTGTTGGGGCTTTCTCCATTAATATTTGCTAAATCGACTTAGACAGGAAGTCAGGTCATTCAGCCTCGGTGGGGGCGGGGTAAAACACCCCCCCCTCTCATTTAACATTTCCAGGCTAAATATTTGATCATCAGTATGCGGATAAATGCCTTAAGGCCCACCCCGCAAAATGGGAGCCGTTGCCAAGGGCTGTCACTTCAGCTGGTGTCCTGGAGGCCTCAGTAACTGAAAAGGCCCCAGATAGCAAGATCAGCGGGGAGGGGGCGTGACTAGGACACTGAGGCTTCGATTCCAAGGCAGGCCTGTTTAGCACCAGCTCAGGGGGCCAGGACACACGTGGGGTGGCAACCTGGAACCACTCACAAGCACTGAGCAGCTCGTGCCCCACCTTTCCAAGCCAGGTTGCTCCAGTCCTGCTAAGGCCTTCATTCCTGCAGCCCCCACCCACATCTCCTCGGGCCCTGGAAAAGTGCCCAGGCAGGAGGCATGCCCAGCTCACTCACCTTTACACCCTGTGTGCCATAGCCCGGGGGGCCTGGGGGCCCAGGTAAACCTTTCTGACCAAGGGAGCCCTGTTAGAGAGAAAGGGTAAGAGGTCAAGAAGCACCCCCCTCCCCCCAACACTGTCCTGAGTTCTGATCAGGACAAGCCGAGGAACGACTGGGAAGGAGGCAAGACCCTGCCCTCAGCCTCCCTTTGTAGCACTTCCCACCCCCGCTGTGTGTGCTGGACATCCAGGGTCCTCACATTCTCCCCTTCCCCTATAAGGGCCTGCTCCCAGGAAAGGGTTATTCACACTAAGGTGTAATGGACTGGTAAGGCCTAACCGGGCGGGGGGGGGGGGAAGAGGGAGAGAGAATTTCCATTTTAACCAGAGACTCACCCTCCCTCCATATCCCACCCCAACACTCCCACACTGGGAGAGTCACCAGCCCATACTATAGAATGATCTGGTAAGAAGACTGGGGATATTTAGCCTGGAAAAAGGAAGGCTGAGGCAGAGGCCCTGGTGGCTGGCTCCAAGTCCTTGAAGACCTGCCATGGGGAGGCGTGTAGGGGAACGGGGAGGCCAGGCCTGGGGCCTATGAATAGGCAGGGAGGCAGGCTTGGCCTGGATATCAGAGAAAACACGTGGGATCACAGCATCTCTGAAGGGGAAGGGAACTTCAGGGCCTCCCCAGGCCCCCGAGGACACCCAGGGCTGAACATCTGGCCTCTCCTGGGACAGGGAGCTCACCCCCACCAGAGGCAGCTCTCTGTGTGTCAAGCTCCCTTTGCATGAATTTTCTCACCAGAGTGTATGTTCTTGACCTACGAGGCTACTTGGCTATTCACACACACACATACACACACACACATACACACACACACACACACATATACATTCTCTCTCTCTCACACACTTATACACACTCACAGACACACACATATACTTAAACAGACTTATGAACACGCACACACTCACACTCTCACACACTCACACTCACACACTTATATACACTCACAAAGACACACACATACACTTACACAGACTTATGGACACACACATTCTCATACACTCACACACTCACACACTTATACACACTCACAAAGACATACACACATATACTTACACAGACTTATGCACACACACATTCTCACACACTCACACACACTCACACACATATACACACTCACAAAGACACACATATACTTACACAGACATGTACACACACATTCACATTCTCACACTTATACACACCTTCTCACAGACACACTCACACACATATACTTACACTTATGCACACTCACAGACACACACATAAACTTACACAGACTTATGCACACACACTTACATTCTCACACACTCACACACATGTACTTACACACACTTCGACTCACACATAGACACACACTCACATGTGTACTTGTTCCGCTTCTTTGGAATAAGAACCCCCAGCTATTTGGCTTTGGGGGGTGGTTGGGGAAAGACAGGCCTCTGCGGTTGTCTGGTTGACTGAAGTCCCCCAGCACTGCTGCACCAGGCTCAGTGACTGTTCTCTGTGACAAGCCCGAGAAAGCCTGATCCTGTTCAGCCTTGTTTGGTGGATAAAGAGCCAAGGAAAGGGAAGAAAAGAGAGCTCCCTTGCCCCATGTCTCTATTCCCCTCCCCTGCTTTCCTCTCCTCTCTTGTGTCTGTCTCTCTCAGTGTGTGCCTGTCTCTCTCTCTGTCTCTACCTTTCTCTGATTCTCTCTTCCCCCTCTCTGTCTCTCTCTGTCTTTGTCTCCATCTCTCTTTGTCCCTCTCTGTCTCTCTTTGTCTCTCTCCTCGCCCTCATCTATCTGTCTCTACCCTCCCCCTTATCCCTGGTTGGGGTGGTGGCAGGGCCTGCGATACTGACCATCTCTGGGGCCAGTGGAAAAGACCACTGCACTGGCCTTTTCCAGGAGCCATCTGGGCTGAGCATCTCTGGCCGCTCCCCAGTGGAAGCCAATGCAGGGTGTCTCTGGCAGCCCAGAAGGCCCCTTCCTCCTCCTTCCTCCAGGGGCCCTCAGCGGTTGCCTTAGAAACCAAATCCAACCGATGAAGGCATCGTTTTGACAGCATCTTTGCCACTACAACCAATTTGCTTAAAGAGGCCTGGACTCACTGGAGTTTCTGTGTCATTTCACTAAAGCTCCTGGGGGGAAGGGTCAATTGGGGGAGAATCTCCAAGTCCACTTTCTCCAAGAATTAACAGACAAAGCTCCTGGCAGGAGCAAAGCATCCTGGGGAAAGTCCAAACTACTCTTCCCTCAACACCCACATTGCCCAGTGCTGACCTTTGGTCCCTGGCTTCCTATGCCCCGAGGTCCAGAGGGTCCAGGAGGGCCTCTCACACCAGGTTCTCCCTGAAAAGACACCAAGTACAGAGAGATATTTGCATATGTCTTGGCAAAGCCAAGTTCAAAACACAGTACTTACTTCAGGCCAAAAGACATTTTCAAGCCCTCGGGCTAAGGTTCTGTCCAGCTTTGAGGCCTGGCCCAACCCCGGTTATCCAAGCTCTGATGACTGGGGTTGTTTGCCCATGACACATTTCTGTCTCCATGCCCAGTCCAACCAGCCTGACTCCCATCCACTCAGCAGCCGCCCTCGATACGGCTACAGAGCATCCTCGTCACTTTTAAATCATCCAAACAGCGCAGAGCCTGAGCTGGACCAAGTGACACAGGTCTGTTGTTGTTACAGGTTCATGCTACATTGGGGGAAAGGGAACAGTTCTGAGATCCCTTCTTGTGCACTTTCTACATCCCCTTCCTCAGCCTCCTGGATGTGGTCCTTCCTGCGTGCACAAGAACTCCCCTGCAGCACCAGGTGGACGGCTGCCCCGGGGACGGGGGCAGGCAGAGAAGGAGGGGCAGTGCAGAAAACCATTGGTTACTGGACGCTGGGCTCTTTGTAGGAAGGATGGGTAAGTGGAGGCAGGATGCTCCCTCATACCCACCCCTCCAATCCTAACCTGAAATGAGGACTGGGCTGGAGGGTCAGGTGGACTTTTCCCCTGGGCTTTTACCTTCTCTAATTGCCTCCCCCCTCAACCAGCCCCTTCCTGTCTGACAGACTCCCAGGCCTGTTCAGAAAGCACCCGGGCAAGACAAGGCTGTGCAGCTCCATGTTAGGAAACATGGTTCAGGGCAACCATGAAGTCACTGGGGCTCAGATCTTGTCCCCAGAATACCGGACGAGTGAGGCTGGACATCCGCTGACCAGGAACCACAAACTGAGAGCTAGGAGGGAACTTCACAAATGAGGAGCCTGAAACCCAGAGTGGTGGATGGAGTTGTCCGAGATCACCCAGATAGTAAGCAGTGAGATTGCAACCCGTGGCCTCTTTTTACTGCCCCAGAGGCCCAGGCTTGTCCCCTGCTAGCCAAGCCAAGGCAACGTGCATTGATCAGACTCCTGCTACGTGTCAGGCACTGCGCTAAGTGCAAGGGCTCACAGAAAGGCAGAGGACAGTCCCTGCTCTCAGGAAGCTTAGAGTCTAGTGGGGGATGTCGCAAACAAGCTGCTGATGGGACAGACCAGAGATCATTGCAAAGGGAAAGCGCCAGAATTAGGGGGCTCAGGGAAGCAAGGAGGGGGCCAGGAGGAGGGAGGGCCGGAGAAAAGTCCAGCATCGGCAGACAGGGCACCTTGTGCAAAGATCTGCAGTCACTCAGTCATTTCTTCTCAAACTTTTCTGGGTCAGTTGTCTTTTACATGTGATCCCTTTCATTTTCTTCATTTTTCCCCCAATCTTTTGATTTTGATTGGGGCAGCGGGTATCACAGTGAAGAGAGTGCCAGCCCTGGATTCAGGAAGACCTTAGTTCAAATCTGGTCTCAGACACTCATTAGCTTTGTGACCCTGGGCAAGTCACCACCTTGTGTTTGCCTCAGTTTCCTCATCTGTAAAATGGAGACAGTAATAGCCCCTCCTTCCCTGGGTTGTTATGAGGATCCAAAGAGATAATAGTTGTGAAGCACAGGGTAGGCACTGTAGAAATGTTGGTTATTATTATTAATTATCATCTTGATTTGGTCTTCCTACTTCTTGCGGTCTGATGTACTGCTTCTCTGTCTGGCGCCTCTGCCAAGCTATTAATTCTCCTGCCGAGTCTGTCCTCCCAAACTCTCGTTTCTTTTCCAATTCTTTCCTACACTGTTGTCATTTCATTCGTAACATCATTGTGACCCTTAAAAATAGGCTACATTGTTTCTTCTAGGAATTTAAATTCATCTCATTGGTTAGTGGTTTTCCTTTGAGGCTTTGCCGGTCAGCAAGGTTTTCTCTTCCTTGGCGTTTGGGCCTCGGGCATCCCTGACACCTTAACAACATCTTTCTTCACCAGATTGGGACTTCGTACTAGGGCCAGGCTCTGCACGCTCCTGGTGTGATTGTCACAGACCTGGCTTATCTTTCAGAAATCATTTCCTGGGCTCTTCAGGGATCTGAGGGCTGGTGTGGGCTGCAAACTTTCAGCACACCCTCTGTGGTCTGGCCACGGGCAGTCTGATCAATGCCCTCCTGGACTTTTCAGGCCCGAGGTCCTCTTCTGGGTCAAGACAACAATTGTGCAGAGCTGACCCTAGGTTCCGCTCCAGCAGACAGTCACTGGCCCACCTCTGTCTGTGAGCTGGGAGGATCTGTAGGTCTTGAGAGTCAGAGGTGACTGCTTATCCCTGGTCTGCATCCAGGAACTGAGTTGAGGGACTGGTTAGGGAGTCAGAGAAATAGCACCTCCACCGCTGGCCTGCCCTGGTTCTGAGCCAAGCCTGGATCCTGAAGCCCTGCCCTGGGGCCAGCGTGTCAGCACAGCAGCCCTGTTCTGTGGCTGGACGCTGAATCCTAGATCCCCTCTTGGGGTCACAGTGGCCCCACCATGGCCCTGCTCTGAGCCAGGTCCTTGAAGGCAGGGACTGTTTCATTTTTGTCTTTGTATTTCCAATGGTGTCTAATAAGTGCTTTTAGTTTTGTTTTGTTTTGGTTTTTTTTTGGCTTGAATTAGCAGTAAGGTCCAATCACAGGCAATATCCAGAGACTGGAGACGCCCCCATCCTACTGGGCAGGCTCCCGTTAGATCCTCTGGGCAGTTGTGCCCTGCCCAGTAGCTGGAGCTCCCATCTGCTGCGTTGGACACATCTTAGCCCAGGAACATCACCTCTCTCTGCCTCATGGACAGATGGGCAGCATCACTCCAAATGGAGCGCTGGACGTTGCCCTTGTCTGCTGACTTGGGGAATCTGCATGGAATTCCTGCCATGTTTCTTGTGTGAATCAGGCCTCTATTTTCCCACTTCTGCTGGTTTGTGCACATATGTGAGCTATGACAGCCAGTCCCAAGAACAGCTGGAGGCTGTTCAGAATAATGGTGCTCAAAGTCATGCCCCACTGGCTTACATTGCAATGGATGATTGGGGGCCACTCTGCTAAAGAAACAAACCACACCTCTGTGTGGAGGTTCAAATGTTTGAGCCAGCTGGGTTTTCTCCTCATTCTCTTTCCTTTGGAATTTCTTTGGATTTCAGGAATTTTTGCTTTGGTTTATAATTTTAGCTAAAATTTTAACTTTTTTGAAGTGTAAATTAATAATTGGAAAGGGAGAAGCCGACCAGAGGTCTGATGGACCTACACTGAGCAGACATAGCAGGAAGGTAGCCTGAGGCTAAGGGTTCACTCTCATTGTCCGTGCCTGGGCCTGGGCCTGGGCCTGGGCCCATGTCTGTGTCTGTGTCTGTTCCTGTGCCTGTATCTGCATCTCTCTGGAGTTACTCTGGCCATATCTTTGGAAACCTCAACTAGAGACATCTTCCTTTTTCAAAGCTTTTGTGTTCTTTTCTTGAAGCCAGGACTGTCCTGAAGAGTCTGGGACGAAGGCCTGCTTCCCCCCCCCATTGTTGCGCCCATCGGTGCTGCTTAATTACTTTTCAGGGTTCATTCACTGGGAAAGGGCATATTGGGAAATGACTGGTGTCCAATAAAAAGAGATCAGTCAACGGTGGAAAAAAGTTCCTCACTAGAACGAAAGGTTGAGTGAGTCACCCATGTCTTTCAGGCTCAGTTTCTCCATCTGTAAAGTTGAGGGAATTGCATAGATAATGTTGCAGGTCCTTTCCAGGCCCAACCTTTGATGATGAAGGCTCAAAAACAGTTTAGACACGTCAAGTGCCATTCAGCTGTGCTGCGTTCTGAAGAAGCTTGATCTGTGACCTTTCTGGAGAGGGTGATGTCTTATTTTTATGCCACAAAAGCAGAGTGCAGTAGTAGTTCTGGACATTTGTAAGCAAGTGAGACTACCCGTGTACCTGGATTAGCACCCAGAGAATGCAGAGGAAAAGAAGCCTCCTTCCAGAGGGTCATCTGGATCGCAGAGAATCACGAGTGGTGCCAGCAGGTGCTCAGCTGCCAACTCAATGCCTCCTCTATCAGAGCATTTACAAGGACAAGCTGTGCAGAGGAGGCAGTTCAGACAAATAAGGAAAGTGGGAAAGAGGGAGGAATCTAGATGCATCCCAATTGGGACCTGGGACTGCTGCAGGGTAAACTTGGGAGCCGCACTGCCAGGAGAGTCTGTGGGGGAACCAGGGGGTCGTTCTTCATGTCATCGCCCCAGAAGGTCACCTTGGGGGAGCAGGGCGGACGTTCCAGGGACACAGACAAGTTCTGTAATCAGAGGGGTCGATGTAAAAATGGCACTGGTGATAGCAGATAGAGATGGACCGACGGGCAGACGGACGGACGGATAGACAGACCCCGAGACACAGAGATCAATAGATAGAGCACAGGCGTCTTCCCCCTGGTTGCCTCCTGCCTCTGCCCATCTCTCTGCTTCAGCTCCTTGAAGGATGAACGTCAGACCCCCTTCGCTCCTTGGGACTGGCCCTTGAACCAGTTCAAGATTTGCCCGACGAGACTCTCATCAGGTCCAGACCAGTCAGCTGTGGCCGCCTCAGCTCACACCACCGGCACCTCCCCGTTCAGTCGGGGCGCATTTAGTGGAGTGAGAGGCAATCAGATGAAGAAGAGGAGTGAGTCGCCCGCTGACTCTGGAGAGGTACTCTGCGCTCTCTCCCGACAAAGACAAGTCCCACTCAGAGAAGCCTCGGCTTACCGCAAGGCAGGAAGAAACAAAAACGGGGTGTGGGGGGCGCTTGTTTGAGGAAACATTTTCTCAGTTTTCTTGTACAAACGTGAGTGAAGTCAAAGCCTGGCTAGGCTTCAAATGCGGACCTTGTCACTCAGTAATCCTAGGGTAGGCTCAGGCCTCGGAGGCAGCCAAGTGGCTCAGGGGATAGAGCGTTGGGCCTGGAGGCAGGAAGATCTGAGTTCAAATCCGGCCTCACTCACTAGCTGTGTTAGCCTGAGTAAGTCACTTCACCCTGTTTGCCTTAATCCTCAGAGAAGGAAATGGCGAGCCGCTCCAGTATCTTTGCCAAGAAAACCTCACACGATGTGATGAGGAGTCAGACACAGCTGAACGTCTGAACGAGAAGCCATGATGGGACTGCCCCTGGGCCCAGCCTTAAGATATGCTCAATCTGCGGCCAAGGGGCCATCGCAGCACTGCTGGAAGTAGCGCCAGCCGCCACAAACCTGTCCGTGAAAACCTCGCCCGATGCCGTCCAGCTCGACTGCAGCTGCCCCCAGGACACCCACGCCACAGACATCCCCTGGCTTTAGAGGCTTCTGTCGGGTGGCCAGCCACCAATGCCCAAAAGGGCCGGTCAGCCCCACCAGGCAGGAAAAGAAAGGCTGGATCGAGTCAGGGAAACAGAGGTTAGCTTCCTGCGAGAAGGCGCTGGGACCATCATGGAACAAGAGCGAGGCATAGCAGAAGAGGCCACGCGCCACACTGGCCCTGGCCCATCCAGCAGACCTAGACGCAGCCCATGGGGGGACCCCTGGGGGGGTACCCTGCAGCCACAAGTGCAGACATCCATGGACATGTGGAAGCCCTGTGAATGTCATCCCACCCTTGCCAGCCACGAAGCAAGGGACCGTCAGACTTTCTCCTTTACCTTTGCTCCAGGGTCTCCTATTCCCCGTAAGCCCATGGGTCCAGGGGGTCCCGGGAGTCCTCGAGGACCCTAATGTGAAACAAGGACAAAAAGAGTGATGCCCCTCCCTACCTGAGCTGCATGAAGCCACAGGCGGCCTCTCCTGCTGGTGGCTCAGTTAACAACATTCCATGTCACCTGGTTCCTGTGTGTGCAGCCACAGCAGGGGGCCCCACCCCACGCCCCCTTCCCTTTGGAGTCCGGCTTCGCACCAAGCACTGTGCTAAGGATCAGGGACATGGAGGCAGGACTGGACTGGAGCATGGAGCAGGCTGGAGGGATGCATGGAGCCCACCTGGAGAGCCCAAAGGAAGGGCCGGGGTCCCCAGAAACCTGATGAATTCCAAGGTGGGGGGGGTCTGCTGCAGCCCCTCAGTCAATCAGATTCCAAATATAAGAAATGGCAAATGCCAATCCAGGGAACACAAGGTTTGTCCTGGTGGTTCTGGGCAGACCAGAGAAAGGGCATCAGCAGCACTTGCTGACTCATTGGTATGCCCTCAGCGGGCTGGCAAGAGTTGGCCAGAGTGGGTTTCCACTGAGAGCTACTAGACTACATCTTCTTTTTTCATGCTATAATTTCACTTTAAATGAGGTTAATAAGTGGACAATATTTTCCCTTTTTTCTTAGAAAAATATTCTCTATTATCTTCTCCATTTTTTTAAAAATTTGGACGCAAGCAATAAAGGGCAACCCCCAGCATGTGGGGTAGATTTAATTTGGAGGATTTACAGAGAGACACGGTTAAGAATCTCCTGGCATGAGCAGTAGGGGGCTAGGGCGGAGGCAGAGTCCCTGGGGGTGAGGCTGGTGTGGAGGCAGAGCCTCTCCCAGGGGCTCGAGGAGCCATCCAAAGATCTTGATCCCTTTGGGCCCGGGCCACTCGGAGAGGTGTGTCCTCTAGTCAAGATCCTGCTCCCGTGGCTCTTCCGTATGCTGGCTTTGCTAAGCACAAAACCCTGCAGACCTCAAGCCACCAAGAGTTCACGGCTTCCCCCTGATCCTTCAGCCAGAGGCCCCTCGCCTCTCCTAATGGAAGGGAAGATGCACGCACACTTACGGTCACTCCAGGATAGCCATCGCCCTTGGGGCCTGGAGCCCCTTCCGGGCCTTGAGGACCTTGGGCACCCTGGGGAGAACCCAACAGCAAACATCCAATTAGTGACGCCATAATCAACGTTACATCACGTTAGCGCAAACCCGAGCTCCAGATATTCTTGTCAGATTCTACCCCAAGAACCATGGTCAGGAAATGCTCCCGCAGCTCAGTCAGCGGGCTTCCTGGGTATGCCCCAGGCCACAACTGTGCTTCTTTGGAGTCAATGGGGCAGGACCCGAAATGGACTTGAGCCAGTACTGAAACACCACCCAGAGCATGAGTGAGAGCAAAGACAGCTGCCGCCAGGACTCTGGCTTCTATTGTCCAAGCCCAGCTGTGCTCTGGATCGTAGGGGTGAGAAGTTCTGAGCTGCTGAGGTTAGAGCCTGGCAATTCCAAACTCTAGAACTTTTAAGCCAGAGGAAAGGATAAAACAAGCCAGAGCTTCTGGGCCACAGGTGACCCAGGGGTAGGTAAGAGGCCCCTTGTGGAACTGGCCGTAGTCTGTGTAGCCCCATCTGCAGCACAGACCCACCACAGCTGGGCTCAAACAGACGGGCTGCTACAAAGCTGTGATGTGAGGCATGATACATGGGGCAGAAAGGTCTCTGGGGAAGGGGGCTGGGGTCAGTGCTGCGGCCAGGCTTGCCCAGAGCCTCAGGCTGGGAGATAGGGGGCAGCGGGGGCCAGGGGTCCCTTCCTCCATGCCTTACCAGCAGGCCCTTTGAGTTAGACATTAGGAAAGGCGGAAGAGAGGGACCATTGCTGGAACATGTGTCTGCTTTACAAAAGCAGCTGGGGGAAGGGAAGGCAAAAAGAAACCCGTCTGACCATTTCACATTTTCTTTATGCGATCCTGGACATGTACACGTTGCTCTCCCTCTCTCTGCTTCAGTTTCCTCATCCATAAAATGGGACTAATGATAGTTCCTACCTCTTAGGGTTGGGCAACTGGGTGGTGCAGCGGGCAGAGCACTGGTCTTGGAATCAAGAAGACTCACCTTCCTGAGGTCAAACCTGCCCTCAGACACTAGCTGTGTGACCCTGGACAAGTCACTTCACCTGTGTGCCTCAGTTTCCTCATGTGTAAAATGAGCTAGAGAAGAAAATGGCAAGCCACTCCAGTATCTTTGCTGAGAAAACCCCAAACGGGGTCACAAAGAGCCCAACATGACTGAACAAACTAAATATCATTTGTCGAGTGTTTTGCAAACCTAAAGTGCTAGAGGAAAGCTAATTATCATGATTAAGTTCCACTAAAGGCACCAAGGATTGGAAATTACTCTTTCTGTTTCAGCCATGGGAGAAGCAGCAGCAGCAGCGGGGGTGGGAGTAGTAAGAACACCGCTATAGCATTTCACAATCATTGTCCCCTTTTAAATTCTCACAACCCCTGGAGGTGTGGGTTGTACCTATGAGGCAGAGGTAAAGTGACTTATCCAGGGTCACAAAGCAATCATCCGGGGCAGGATTTGAACACAGATCTTCCTAAATCCTCTCCCCACTGTATAGGATGGGGGTGAGGGTGGATTTTCCCTTCCTTCAGCCATCTAGACAAACGAGCCCTTCTGCCTAGAGCAGTGAGTTGGAGGGGAGAGAAGAGGAGGGAACAGGGCTGAATGGTACCTTGGGGCCTCGGATGGAAACTCCCGGTTCTCCTTTGAAGCCTGGCCTCCCGATCTCTCCTCTGTCTCCCTGCACACACAAACACACCTGGTCATTCACTACCCAGGTGTCCGGTCACCAGAGCAGATGGGTGGGGCTGCAGCCTCTGAGGCCACAAGCCTGGGCTGGCCTGAGGGGCTGACCATAGCCTAGGAAGGCCTGGAGCAAAGCAAGGGGTACCTGTTGATGGACTTAGGAAAGACCGGGTGGGGCTGTGGAGCAAGGCCTGAGCCAAGGACCAGGAGGCCTGGGCTCCAGGCCCACACTTCATGGGCGAAGGGACCAAAGAAGCCCAAGCCCTTTCTGGCCCATTGCTCACTGACAGATGGGGCTGCCGATGCTTCTGCTCCAGCCCTCCCAGGCCCGATGGGTCAGAGGACTGGGGCTCCTTCCTTCCTCATCTGTCCTCTGTGGGCTCATAAAGAGCCAGTTCGATGGAGCTTACAGCATCACCCCTGCCCCAGACAGTAGGGAGAAAAATCTCCCATTTCCACAGTCTTAGAAATGGCCGTAGTGAGTGCCCAGTCCCTGGAGGATCCCCAGGCTGTCATCCCACTGAGGGAGACCTCAAGATCCGGAGAGAGAGGCCATGACGCAGGCGCGCTCACGATTGTCTCCGGCCGGCTGCCGCCCGTAGCTGAGGCAGGCCTGGCCCAGCCCCTTCCTCCCAAAGGGCTCAGACCGCCCTTCACCTCAAACAACCAGGAGAATGTCTGTACCTTTGGCCCAGGAGGTCCTTGAATCGATGCCCCAGGCATGCCAAAGGGCCCCATGATGCCAGGCTCGCCCTGTGGGTGAAAACCAAAAGATCCCCCTTAACAAAGGTCCGACAGCTCTGTGCCGATGTGAAGACTGCCTGAGGGTCTAGTCAAACCTAGAAAGGACCTCGTGGGCCATGAAGGCCAGCCTTCCTGATTCATCGTGCTGGGGAAAAGGAAGACATAAGACTGTGCTGCCTCAAGCGAAAGTGGCTGACCACTGCCGGGGACACCTGGAGAGGTCGGCCAAGGAAACCCGCAGGAAGAGAATTGTAGCACAGTCAGGCGTGGGCTGGTTCTGCTGTTCCAGGGCCAGAGAGCCAGGCAGGGCCAGTCTGGCGGAGCCAAGGGCTCTCCCTCAACTGAGAGCCAGGTGACCCTGGGCAAGTCATTTCAACATTCTGAACCTCAGTTTGCACTTCTGTAAAATAGGGTTGAGCACTAAGGTGCTCTGCCATTCAGCAGCATCCAGACTGGAAAAGGTCAGTCACAGAATTACACACTGCTGTGTGGGTGCATGGGGGAGGGGGGCATAACCCCATTCTGCCTCCAACTGGGGCAGCTTCTCACCACCATAAGGTCTAACCTTGGCTGGAAGGCCAGGGACAGATCACAAACTGGCCCAGCCCACGGGACTGCTCCCCACGGACCCCGCAGATGGTACTGCAGGGAGAAGAGCCAGGCTCGATAGAGCTCTGGCCCACTGCGGGCACCTGTTCCCTGACTTACGCTGCCTCCCCACCTTCCCGCTGCGGGACAGTGTTTTCAGAGAACAGCAGCTCAGTCTTTTTGCCCAAGGAGTCACTCCCTGGAGGCCCCTGACTGGTCCAAGCCTATCGCTCTACGGCCTGAGCCAGCCTTCCGTGACCAGTAACAGCTCTGTCTCCCTGACTCATCTAGGCCTCTGGTCTGGCCTGAAACCAGCTCTGCCCTGAGCATCAGCCCCATCTGCCCACCCTGAACTGTGGCCCAGCAGCGGGAGGGAAGCGGGTGTCTGATGTCTGGGAGCGCCCCCTGAACCGTGGCCCAGCAGCAGGAGGGAAGCGGGTGTCTGATGTCTGGGAGCGCCCCCTGAACCGTGGCCCAGCAGCGGGAGGGAGGCGGATGCCCAACGTCTAGGAGCGCCAAAGCCATTTTACAGGCGTGAGCTTGGCAAAGGTAACGGATGACCTGCCCACTGCACCAAGAGGCAAAGGGCAGATCCTTTGGCAGATGAGATAATTCACTGGTGGTGAGGTCAGAGACACCAAGGCTGACACTGTGGAGGAAGGGGCACTTCGGGAACTTCCATTTTTCCTGGGTGGTTTGGGCCGGGCCATGGGAATAGCTGAGCCTATCCTGGCATAACATCAGCAAACTCTCCCTGGCCAGGGACAGGACTAGTCGTGTAGGGTGTTGGGGGCTTTGCCCCAGGGCACTGACATGGTGGGGGCACGCCGCCCCGGGGCGAGGGCAACCTATACCCACTAATCTCTGGGTTGCCCCCCAGGTCAGTGGAATCTGCCCATGGCATCTGTCCCTAGCTCTGGCTCTGGAACAGGTCATCAGAGAGACTGGCCACTCATGCCCCTGTACCGGCGCGGGTGATTCTGCCTTTAAAGTTCAGGCCCTTCTTGGGGCTCATTTGTACAGTGGAGAGGCAGGCGGACGTCAGCTGGAGGCTCAGGCATCCCTGCTCCTCCGTAGGCAGGACCTTAGACAGGACCCCTGGGCCTCGGCTAGTTTTTTTTACCACGATTTTCATCAGGGTTTGGGGTCTGGCCTCCATGCTTGTTAAACAAATCTGGAGAGATTTGCACCAGACCTTCCAGCTGCTCCAGGCACAGCCTCCCATTCCACCTCCCTCCTCTCGGCTTGTCACAGACCATCCCTTGTGCCTGAGACGCTCCCCCTGCCTCCTGGAATCCCTGCCCCCCAGTCTCAGCTCAGGCTCTGCTGCAGCCAGAGCCCTCCCCTGATCCCCCCGCCCAGACGATAGTTTGTATTTACTTCTCCTTCTTCCCTAGTGAAATGAAGGCTCCCTGAGGACAAGACAGCCTGCTTCTCTGTGGTCTCTGTACCGTTCAGTGCCCGGAGAAGAGCCCGTAAGCACTTCACGAGGGGACCAGCACCCAACTGGAAATAGAGTTTCCTCCTGCGTCCTGCCCAAGCCCAACCATCAGCTGAGTTGGAGACACTGAGTGGGGGCTCAGGAGACACCGGCCAGCATCCCGACCTCGGCCCTCAGGCCACCGTGTGACTGGGGCGAGCTGCTTGTCCTCCCGGCTTTGGTTTCTTCTTCTGTCCAGTGGGGAGAGCAATGCCTGTGCCATCTCCCTCATAGGAGGGGAAGCCTCGTCAGCCCCAAGAGGAGCCTGAGGCCCACCCGAAGCGTCAGATACTTACCTTCGGACCCTGAGGTCCCGCCACGCCCTTCTGCCCCGCGTTACCCTTGCTCCCCTTCTTCCCTTCGTCACCCTGAAAACACAAGGATGACAAATGTAAATGCCAGTGACCGATGACACCCGTGGAGAAGCAGCTGGTTTTCACGCTTCAGGCCTCTGCTCCAAATCTCTCCCTCCCTCTCAGCTGTCAAAGTGACCTCCCTAAAAGAGCAGGTCTGAGCCGTGCACAGAGCGCTGGGCCTAGAGTCAAGAAGACCTGAGTTCAAATCCAGCCCCAGACACTTACTAGCCATGTGACCCTAGGCAAGTCACTTTACCCTGTTTGCCTCAGTTTCCTTATCTGGAAAATGAGCTGGAGGAGGAAATAGCAAACCTGTCCAGTACCTCTGCCAAGAAGACCCCCAATAGGTAATGAAGAGCCAGACACGACAGAGATGACTGCACAACGGTCACGTGACCTCCTTAGTCAATCAATTCCAAGGAGCCCTTTTCATGTCCAGGATAACATGCACAATCCCCTGGCTTTCAGAGCCCTTCACTACCTCCCTGCCTGCTCCTCTCCAGTCTTCTTACCCCTTCAAGAGGTAGATAGAAAGAGTAGAGAGAGGCAGAGAGAGATGGAGAGATAGGTAGAGAGAGAGATGGTAGAGATGGATGGGTGGATGGGTGGATGGGTGGATGGATGGATGCGTAGGCAGATGGGTGGATGGGTAGATGGATGGATGGATGGATGGGTGGGTGGGTGGAGGGATGGATGGATGGGTGGATGATATATAGATAACTGATAAGGACAGATACATAGATTGATAGATAGTACAGACAACCAAAATCTGCAGAGATCTTCTGTCCTGGCTTATTGGAGATATGTAGATATCTCAGACAGCAGCTGCTGATGGGCAATGAATGGGGCCCAGACCTCAGGAGAGGGGGCCGGATTGCTCTGGGGACTCAGGCAGTACTTTTGACAATCACATTGTTCCCTGAGCCCCAGGCCCATCTTCTTTACACCGCTACTCTCCAGTGATGCTCCATACTGGGCAGCTCCTGAAAGACTGGGGCCAGCTGAAGGGTGATGGCCAGTGGGCATGGGAAGGTGTGGCCTGTTATCTATCGAGACTCACGTATGAAGTGGGGTAAAAGCTGTAATCAGGTAAGATATCAGCAGGACAAGAGGTCACCCAGAGATGTCATGAGGCTGAGGCCATCCTGGCAGACCTCTAGCACATTGGGAGGATTCCTGAGAGGACATGAACAAAGGCCAGAGAAGGCAGGCCCAAGCGATGGGGCGGTGGGGGCAATCTGCACCAGTGAAGGGAAGAGACACAGAAGAAGACCCTATCAGTCTCCCAATTCCAGGGGTGATGGTGGCTCTTTCTGACTCCTGCCTCCTCATCACTCCCCATAGCCAACAAGAGGACCACTCATATGAACCCTGCACAGTGCACGTTCCTGGAGTGGCCAGAAGCCAGCCTGTGGATACCTTCGGGCCAGGCTGTCCTTTGCCAGGGGCTCCTTCTGGGCCTCTCACCCCTGGAAGTCCAGCTTCCCCCTAGAAGGAAAGACATTGGGGTTAGTGGCTGACTCTGCTGACCAGGGGCCCCGTCACCAGCCCCAGCTGATGGGTGGCCTGGGCCAAGCCTTCACCCCAGGACTGAGCAGCATCTGGGAAAGCTCCCAAACCTGGCCAGAGTGAAGTGACCGATGGCCAAGGACCAGGCAGGGTCAGAAGATGCCAAACAGCGGAGGAAATCGTAGTGTGGCCAAAGGAATGAGGACATTGGGAAACGGTCTAAGAGACCCTAGGCTTGCCCGGGGTGGGCTCTCTGTCGTCAGTTCTTCCGTCTGCCTCTCCCCCTCCTCCTTCTCCCACTGCCTTTCTCTGCTCTCCTCTCCTCTCCTCTCCTCTCCTCTCCTCCCCTCTCCTCCCCTCTCCCCCCCCCTCCCCTCCCCCCCCCTCCTCTCCTCCCCTCCCCTCTCCTCTCCTCTCCTCCCCTCCCCTCCCCTCCCCTCCCCTCCCCTCTTCCTTCCTTGCTCCTTCTCCTCCCCCTCTGCTCCTTGGAGTCACAGGACCTCAGTTCCGGTCCCACCTTTGCCACTTACAAACACGTGACCTTGGCCAAGGCATTTAACCTCTTTGGGATTCAGCCTCCACATCTGCCATGCTGGGCTAAACGCCTGCGAGGTCCCCACCAACTGCAGACCCCTCATCTCATGGGGTCGTCTCCCTCGCCAATCACGCAAAGCCGGGACCCCCCCAGAAAGTACAAACACTCTTGGCCCTGTCTGGCGACGCCCTGCCTCGTGGTCAGAGGCGTCTGTATCTGCGTTGGAGGCTCTCGGGCCCTTGGCCCCATCTTGTGCCTGACGCCACTCTTTCGGGGTCCACTCCCCCATCCCTCACCGAGACCCTGCCGGCTCTCAGCTGGGCTCAGCTCATGGGGCCACAGTGGTCCCAGGCCCAGAAGAGGCCTTCTCCGCGAGCCAAGGGGTTTGCCTTTGACTGACTGGGAACCACTGCTGGGGTCTAAGGAAAAGAGAGTCACCTTCTTGCCTTCGGCTCCATCTTCTCCTGGGGATCCTGGCTGGCCAGGCAGCCCCACGGACCCTGGCTCCCCCTAGTGGGCGAGGAAAGAGTTGCACCGTTAGCTACTGACAGCAGGAGAGGAGGCCCACTCTGCCTGGGAGACAGGGCGCCCCGCACCTGGGCCTTGCTCCTCCCTCAAAGCCAGCCCCCCAAGGTCTTCAGTCAAACGCCGGCTGCCCTCTTGGAACGTGCGAGAAGGGATCTTTAGGCATGCGGCAGACAAGAAGACCCCTGGGGTCCCTGCCCATTCCTTGGTTCTAGGATTTTGTGACCTTTGATCATCCTCATCTGTAAAATGGGTAGAAGGGTGGAATGGATGCACGGGGCAACGACCATGGCCCTTGTGCTCCTAACTGTCTATGCTGCTGCGTCTTCCTCATTGAATGAAGTGGCTGGGTGGGGCAGTGGGCAGCGTGCTGGGGGTGGAATCAAGAAGTCCTGCCTTTAAACCCTGCCCTAGACACTTCTTAGCTCCATGAACCTGGGCACCAAGAGCCTAGGAAAGTCCCTTAACCCTTCTCGGGCTCAGTTCCCTCATCTGCAAAGTGGGGAGAAACATCTATCTCCTTCCTAGGACTATTGGGAGGGTCGGACGAGCTTCCAGGGAAAGTGCTTTCCAAATCTGAAAGGGCTATAGAAATGCGCGATATCACTGTGCCGCCGTGACTCAAGTCCCCAGTCCAGGGCATGAAGGTCGCTCCTCTTTGGTGGGGCTCGGTGCCCTGTACTGGGGGAGGGGGCTCTCTCCAGACCCTTCAGGCCCTGGGGTTGCACCAAGAGTGCACAGTTTAGTGGGTCCGAGTTCTGGCTCTGACGTTCCCTAGCTGTGGCACTGTGGGCTCATGGCTCACCTTCTCTGAGCTGCTTCTCCATCTACAACACGGGCCCCAGAAGCTTTACCCTGCCCCCCTCACAGGGCGGTTCTCAATCAGAGGCCCTCTCAGAGGCCCCATGATCCTCCTCTTCCCTTGGCCTCGGCTCAGCGCCGTCCCTTCTACAAAGCTGGACCCAAACCAGGCGTCTTGCCGTGAGATCAGCCCTCTGTGCCTGGCCCCTCCCTGCCCATCAGGTGCTGCTCCCTACCTGCTATTAAAAGGGGGCAGGGCAGTTTAATGGAGAGAAGATGCAGAGGCTGAAGACCTGGGCTCTGAACTCCTCTGCTGTGTGAAGTGTGACCCTGGGAAAGTCCCTTTCCCTACTGCAGGCCTCAGTTTGCTCTTCTGCAAAATGGGGGTGCTGGACTAGATGGTTTCGAAGAGCTTTCCATCTCTAAATCCTTTGAAAACGGTCATTTTCTCCTGCTGCACTTTGGCCTGAATCTACCTAAGTCTTATAATGCCTACGTACAAGTAAGCCAGTCCGTACCAGCCTTCTGGTGACAAATAAGGCCATCTCCAGGACCCCTGAGCCTAGAATGCCCTTGGACACGTTCCAGATCTCAGGACGGAAGCTGGCAGGAAGGCCGTCAGGGTGCAGTGGGGACCTCTGACGCTGACGCCCTGGGATAGACCCTTGGACATTCAAATGCTGCAGGAGATACTCTGACACAAGTCCTGGGAGAGCCCCTCTGACACGGAAGCACTAGGACAGACCCCTCAATCTTGAATATGAGGTTGGGTGCTCTGAAACTGACCCCAAAGTCCCGGGAGAGCCCCTCAGACTCTGAAGTTCAAGGACTGGGCCTTGGATTCTGAAGCGCTGGGAAGAAGCACAAGGCATATAAAGACTGCTTCTCCCCAGACATATGACCAAAGCTGAGCTGGGAGGCAGGCCACATCACCCTCTGAGATCATATCTGCTTTCAACACACAGGCGGATAGTGGTGGACTCCACTGGTGCGGTAAATAAACATGGCCCTAGGAAGGGGCGTGGCACCTGCAGACATGAATCAACCCCCCTCCAACCCCACCAAGCACTTCAGTGCCCACTTTGGAAGCAGGGAAGTTGGCTACACACTCACCTTTGGACCCGCGACTCCGATTCCCACTGTTCCCCGAAGCCCGGCGGGGCCAGGCTGGCCCACTTCTCCCTGGAAGGGAAAGAGCAGATATATACTGAGCGCTGGGGGTGAGCCATCAGGGATCTCTGGGATCTCCAGGCTGCTCATCTTGGTGTGTCCCCCATAAGTCTCTGACAGCTTTCACACCTATCACACACCTGAGACAACATTCCTTCCCCGACCTCCTGAGGAAAGAGAAGGGGCCTGAGTGAAGGCTCTCGAGTGTTATAAACAAAAGGACAGTTGTGATTCCCCAGCACATAGAAGAAGAAAAGCCCTTTTGTTTATTTGCCTGTAATCCTGGAAACAGATAGTGGAGGGGACTCACAGACACGTCTCTGCCCGGCTCCTCGTCAACATTACTGATCTCAGCCTGAGCTGTAAGACGGCTCTGAGCAGAAGACCAGGAGGCTTCAAAGACCCCATAAAGGCAAAGATCCCTAAAGAACGCGGATCACAAACGCCAGCCTGTGGGTAGGCTCCACAAGAGTTGTGGGCCAGGCTGGGGGAAGCTGCTGGTTTTAAGTCGTTATTTCCTGCCTCCCCAGTTGAGTGCTCCTGGGCACTGGCAGCAGACCCAGGTTACAATCTCCTCTTGTTTAGGACCTTACCTTGGGACCAGGAGAGCCCTGGCCTGGGGGTCCTTGGGGGCCAGGTGGGCCGCTTGGACCTTGGATTCCCTTTCAAAGAAAAAGAAATGTGTTTAGGTTCAGAAGAAATTAATGGGCCAGGTTCCCCTCCTGTGGGATGAGTGCAGGCTCCAGAGTGAACAAATGATCTCAGAAACTTGACTTCCTCCTCCTGAGGGGCCTGGGTCAATGCGGCACCTGTGAGCAGGAACAGTCTGCTCCAGTCTAAACAGGACATGAGGCTGGCCAGACCTTTAAGGATGGGGGAGGCTGGGGGCTCCTGTGTCTCTTTTCAGTTGGAAAGATTCTCTGTACAGAATCCAAAAGGGAACAAAAGTACCTGGGGCAGAGAGCAAAGAAATTCAAAGAAGGGCAGAAAACTAAGCCTCTGAGTAGGAGAAAACTCTCCAGGAAATGTGGACACGGTTTGATAAGCGGCTCTCTCTTTGCTGCCTGAGAGGCCCGTCAGCTGGTTGCCACACAGGTGGGAGGCAGCGCCAGTCTGCCCTGGGCAGGAGGAAGGCTGCTGGGCTCCCGGGGCTCAGAGATCAGAGAAGGCTCGGCAGTGGCCATCAAGCACTCAGACTCCAGGGGCAGGAAGCCGAGAGGGGGAGGTCTGTGACACAGAGGCCCCTGAGCAGACCACACATGGCACCAGATGGGTTTCTGTCTTTGAACTTCAACCACGAGACTCTGAAGGACAGGCTGCCACATCTGGCATCATGGCCTTGTTTGGGAGCCATATGGGGGTCCAGCTCAAACCGAGGAAGGGGCTCCAAGGGGAGGGTGGCATGGTCAGCGGGGAATCGTGGATGCACACCAGCTCTAGACAGTTCAGGCAGCTGCCCAGGCGGGCCAGGCTTATCCCATCCAAGGCCTAGAAGCTCTCTGAGGACTGGCCAGACTGCTTTGGGTTTTCCTGACTTCTAGTAATGACAGCTCATTAGTGACCCAGGAACAAGTCCCCCAAAGGGGCGAGGGGGGGAAGGGAGGCCAACTACCCACAGGGCTTGAGAGCTCATGGTAGAAAAACCAAACGGGGAAGGGAAGAGGCTGGCAAAGCTTCTATTGAATGAGATGAAGACAAAGTCCAGGACTCTGGTCTCGTTTCACATCTCCCACACAGCCTGTGCCCTTCCATACCTTCGAATAAACCCAGCCGGGAACAAAACAGCGCTTTGATCACACCACCATGCAGACAGACCATACGTCATCAGGTTTTCTGGAAGTCATGGTGGAAGTAGTATTTTTCTTTTTCTTTCTTTCTTTCTTTCTTTCTTTCTTTCTTTCTTTCTTTCTT